TGTTTCCTTAACCTAAAATTTTTGCGCGGGTTGACGTTCAACTATTGTGAGCCAAAACTATCTTAGAACTAGTTGAAATTTTTTACGTACGCTGGTTCGAGTCTTAAAACCAAGTCTGCAACTTCGCTGTCAAAAATCGGCAATTTTTTGGGTTTCGTTTTCCGGAGCCATTTCGTTTTTTCAAGTTCAAACCACCGTTTAAGCGGATGATCATAGGTCCCATCCATATGCTTCAAATAAAACCTTCGCTGACGGCATTTTTTGCTTCTACTGCTGAGTTTTAAAAATCGGGTAAAGCTAGTAGATGAGCTGAAGAATCATCCAAGCCACCTTTGGCTGCTGGGAGAACTGATTGTAAAAGCTGTTTATCAGCTATTTTCACATTAGTGACTTTGTATTACGAGTTTGTCGTTGGAGTCCAAAAAATCATTGGAATGGTACGACAAAGATAAACCCCAATAGATCATAAAGTTCTGATTGACCCGAATCCTGAAGCTAACCAAAAAAAAAAATGATTTGTTATCGGCACTGATGAGCAATCTGTCACAAGGAGAGGAAACTCAGATCATCCATGTAATTAAACTCATTCCAGCCGTTCACAAAAAAGATTTAGGTACTATTGATAAAATGAATAACACTTGCAAAACTTGCGCTTCTGATATACTCAAGTAATTTCCAATTAATATGAGAAGAAAAATCACAGTTTTCAAAACCTGTTCACCCAACAGAGACAATAGAATACTTCAATCTTTGACGGTTGTGGCTCCCGCAGAATCAGAAGAACTTTCTCAAGCTTGAATAATCATGGATAATTGTTGAGTAAAACTGTATTCAAATAGACTTCTGAACAAAAATACAGAGTAATATCTACCCAAAAATGTCCAGTATCAATCATTTGGTTTGCCATTTGTTTGTATTGACCTAGATGCTGTGAAAGATCTGCACTTACTAAATCGAATTAAGCACAGCACGGCATTAAAACAAGGCGAGGTGTGATGGAAGTGACTATCCAAAAAGAAACTCAGGAAAAACTGCTACGTTACTGGTCATATAATTCTCGAAAGCAGTCCTTCAAAATATGGGAGGGTGTCAAAGTTTGTTCATATTCAATCTCTACATGATTGTTCATTTAGTCAATTACATGGAAAACATGATAAAGGACATAATGTTTTGACGTTTCTTCAGAAAAGACAAAAAACTCCTTTTTCAGAGTTCAGATAGTAGTTTGGTAGTTCATTCAATGAAAGACAAACTCCCTAAAATGTATGTCGAGCAAACTTTATAGCATTTACTGAAGATGTTGATCACCCCACAGACTATTCAAATCAGCTAATATTGGATTTTTTTAAACTTTTTTAGCCGTATCTCCTTTGTATGGAATGCTTATGTATGCCCTCAGCAATGTCTGTTAATGTAAGTGTTTAACTTTTATAGTAAGAAGTTTTTATATTTGGAATTTGTATGATTAGAAGTTTGTTCAAGCTGGGTAATTGGAAACAAGGAGGATCTTCATAACATTCGAAAGGTCTCACCAATTGCAGTTCTCTGGCTCAAAGCTTCACCGATGTGCAAATTTTGGATAAATTGCCCAATTCGACAAAACTACAGACATGAATTTTTGCAATCGGGTTGTAGACTTGCATGATTACACTAAGCTTTCACACTAAACCAAAATTTTAATGAAAAAAATACAGATATTTATGCTCTTTCAAATAAACCTGGAGAAAGATCTCAGCATTCATGCTTAAATCTCTCGAGAAAAAAGAATAACAGTTCCTACTGAAAAAATGTGAAATTTATTAAGATGACCTGATGACTGAAAAATGGCAAAATTACCAGATTTCTTCTTACTAAAAGCATTTGGTTCGGTGAATCCTGCAAATATCTTTTCCATTTTAAAAAAATGCTTCAATTTAACGGCGAGCACCATTTTTTTTGGAAATTTTGAAAATTCCCATTGAAAGTAAAAAACTGCTAATCGATGATCACATAAATCACGTGCTTAAAAAATTAGATCAATTCTGTGGTGCTATCTACAAAATAAGAGATGTTTGCCCCACGAAATTTTTTCTCTTATTCTACAATTCTTGTACAAAAACAAAATAACATATGGCGCCTTGATATGTGGTTCTTCTTGCTTCACTCGAATCAAGAAAATTAAACTGGCACAGCGGAGAATAATGAGAACATTTTTTTAAAATATATATACTTCTATAGGCAATAATTTGGCGAACTGAAATTTTTGCACTGATCGTGAAGTTTTTGCCGTTGAAGTTCTCAAAGAAGTTTTTAAATGTCTGAATAGGTTTTTCTCTTAACAAACCTGCTTGTATGACAGAAAAGGAAAGGTTATCACGCATAATTATAAGAAAAAGGGTATACCTTCCCTTAGGTTAACCAAAACACGGACAGAAGAAAAGGTCACTAGTGACTCTTGTTAACAAATCCTATAATGGCTCAAAATTTTTGGATCTCAATCCAGCAGAAATAGTCAGTTTAACTTCTAAAAACTCAATCAGCATGTTAGGATGATTCAATAACTTTATATTGGAACCTGATCTAAACTATATTTTATGATTGGATAAATTAGATATTTTACCACTGTAAAGTATTTAATATTAACCAATCATGATCCATCTAACTAACAACCCACTTATTTGTAAGTGCTGAAATTACTTGTAATTTCAGCACCAGAGAGATTTGAATTTAACTTAGAAATTAGTTTCCTCTCCAAGAGAACTTCAGCAGCCGCAACAAACCAGTATACCCTAGATCTATTGAGCCTAGCAGAGACTAGTTAAACACCCTGAGACTAGTAAGTATAAGAGTAAGATTAGGATCGGTATTAGACTAAGAAGTTGCACGAATCTATCCGGCCGAAAATAAGATAGCGTGACGAGCAGACGGTGTACCCTATCCGAAATTACTCTATGAGTTAACCACATCGGTCCTAACTCAATATGCAAGATAAGAGAGAAACCAATACATTCTCTTCTTTTAAACGTTTCCTTACATAGTGATTCCAATCAGGTCATTCCTTTCCTCACACGGGTTCAAATTAGAAGAGCTTCTTAGCTCATTTTAGGTCCTCGTCGAATAAGATAGTTTTCTATATTCAACAGTATGTATATTTTAGTTACTCGACTTAATTCAAACAGTTTAATTATGTACTTCTCCTTTAGTAACAAAGTATCTTAGGCAAATAAATTTTGAAGCCTACTCGTTAAAGGAAATTTCATCAAAACAACCGCAATAATCTACTCGTTAACAGAAGTTGCATTCAAACAACCGCTTTAATCTACGAGTTAACAGAAATTGCATTTCTAGAGCGTGTGGTAATTCTCTCTAATCGGTGGGGTTTACTCTCATGACGGAGGTACCGAATGATGGAAAACTTTTAACAAATCAGAAATGTTAGACGTTCCTATTGGCTAACTGATTTTGCTTAAAACCAAAAGCGTTACAAACAGAAAATGTAAATTAGAAGCACAGCAACGTTTTGCTGTAAGTTCCTACAGTTATAAGAGCAGTTTTTATTTATTTTGTAAATTTTTCCAATAGCCGACTTTGAATTCGCTTCAGCTGAAAATTCATTGGTTTGCTTATTTTTGATCGGTTATTGTTCCGACTTTCGATACGAAAGTAACGGAATGTTTGTGCTCGGGGTGGGTTGGTTTTCTTTTCTTCAGACAAATTTCGACTTTTTAGCTAGCCATTTTTGACGGAATTTTTTTATATCATCCGAAAGCTATTGTTGTCTTGAGCTTGAATTTGAAAAGATATTTCACCTGTGATCATTTTTTGTAAAGTTATGGGGGTTTAAAGATTGCCATTTTGGCCAATTTGGGACAATTAACGCGCGATATATTTCGCGTTATTAACGCGTAAGCGGAGAGTTAATCCATCTACGTAATCGTTCCAAATTGGTTAAAAGAAGCCTATTTGCCATAATTGGTTTGTTACAAGGAGCGAAACCTATCCTTTTGTACTTTATATGGCGTGTGGGGTGATGATTTTTATTTAAAAAAATTTCAAATTTTAGATTTTTTTTTTTCATTTTATTTTATTTCATTGAACTTTTTAATGTTATTACTGCTCCATAAACCTTAAAAGGCAGTCGGAACATTCAGGGCTTCGCCCTGATACGAGCAGTCTTGTTATTATTGTTTCGATTTTCGTAACGAAAGTAGCGGAATAATTCTGCTCGGGGTGGGATTTGTTCTGCAGACATATTTCGACTTCTTAACTAGCCATTTTTGACGGAATTTTGTAAATATTATTCAAAAGGTATTTTTGTTTTGGGCTTAATTTTGAAAAAAAATTTCACTTTTGATCTTTGTTTTAAGAAATTTTTGGGATGTTCAAGATTGCCATTTTGACCAATTTGGGACAATTAACCCGCGATATACTTCGCGCTATTAACGCTTAAGCTGAGATTTAATCCGTCTTAGATGATCGTTCCAAGTTGGATGCAAGAAGCTTATTTGCCATAATTGATATGTTACCAGTAACGAAAATTATCACTGTGTATTTTAAATGCGTAGGTGGTTGATTTTTGCAAAAATCTTAAATTAAAAATATATATATATATATATATATATATATTTTCTACATTTAATTTTTCATGTTTTTACTGTTTCATAGACCTCAAAAGGCAGTCGGAATATTCAGGGCCTCGTCCTGATACGAGCAGTTTTGTTTTTAATGACCCCAGAGTTTTTCTTTTACTTGGTTTTTGCGATTTTTTTTGAGATTTTTGAATACTCAATTCTGATTGGCTCAGAAAAACTAAAAAAAAACTTTCAAGTCTCGGTCCCTCCATTATGAACCACGCACGCCACCCAAATAGGCCAAAGTAGTCCCAAATCTATATTATCAGAGCACATAAATAGTGCGCCATTCAACAAAATCTGTCCATCAGTTCATCTGTATTCTTTATATCTGGTAAAGCCCGCAGAATAAAAAGATGTGGTAAACTTTAAAAGTATATTGAAGCGTTAGAATTTCAGCAGTGTAATATCAAGGCATATGAAATAAGCATCTAAATTATAGGCATTAAAAATATATAACATCAGTCTGTTAGTCTTTAATAAAGTACAATTTCGAGATCAAGTCACATCAACTTAAGAACCATTAGTTCATCTATCTAAAATGCATTCTGTAGCACATTTACAGCTAGAAGTAAATTTCGGGTTGTTACTTTTCCGCATAAAAAACAGCAATTCAATTCACCAAAATATGTTTATAAGCCTCGACTTAAGCTCTGTTCTTAGTTAGTATGTGACCAGGATTAGATTAGCTGATTTTAATTTGAGATTAGTCTCAATCTCAGATACTGTTATCAAAAATTTGACTGCGAGTCATGTTGGTGTTTTCGCGAGAGTTTGGCTCATTTAAGTTGTCATGGTTTTCATAGTAACGACTTTGAGGTTGTTGCATGCCTCCAGGTGTGACGGCGTTTTTCATGACTAACATAGAGATGATAGCAATCGATGCTCCAACGGCAACCACAGCACCGATCAGAGAAGCCATGACTACTAGGGCAATTTTCCAACCTTCAAGAGAAGACTTTCCGTCTTCACTGCTCGAGGAATCTTCATTCTCACTTGATGGCTTTTCATAAGTAGTTCCAGATGGTGCTTCTGGCGTCGCAGTAGAAGCAAGTTCAATGTTGGCTCCAGAGGTCGATCCAGCTGGTGCTTCTGGCGCCGCAGTAGAAGCAAGTTCAATGTTGGCTCCAGAGGTAGATCCAGCTGGTGCTTCTGGCGCCGCAGTAGAAGCAAGTTCAATGTTGGCTCCAGAGGTAGATCCAGCTGGTGCTTCTGGCGCCGCAGTAGAAGCAAGTTCAATGTTGGCTCCAGAGGTAGATCCAGCGGGTGTTTCTGGCGCCGCAGTAGAAGCAAGTTCAATGTTGGCTCCAGAGGTAGATCCAGCGGGTGCTTCTGGCGCCGCAGTAGAAGCAAGTTCAATGTTGGCTCCAGAGGTAGATCCAGCTGGTGCTTCTGGCGCCGTAGTAGAAGCAAGTTCAATGTTGGCTCCAGAGGTAGATCCAGCTGGTGCTTCTGGCGCCGCAGTAGAAGCAAATTCAATGTTGGCTCCAGAGGGAGATCCAGCTGTTGCTTCTGGCGCCGTAGTAGAAACGGGTTGACTGTTGGTTGCAGAAGTAGTTTCCGCTGGTCCTTCTGGCTCCAGAGTAGGGAACATGTCGAAACGAGTATCTGTTCTGTTGAAAATTGTACCATTTTCTATATGTTCAAGGCCTGGTGGCAGGGTCTGAAACATAAATGATGCCATATCATTCAATCAATTTTCTTTTCGCCGCATTTTGTTTGGAAATGAAAAAATTGACACCAGATTTTGAAAACAAACGCAAAAAAGTACCGTAATCTGAAATCTTGCTTCGTAGCTCAACCTTGATTTGAATTATTATTTGCATGATTACTGATGCTAAAATGATTTTGTAAACGATAATCTTTTTACACACTTTTTATCACCGGAAGGAAAATGAACCAATTACAATTTTTTGATATTAGCTTATCTCGACGCAGCGCAACCTAAGTTAGGGAAATTTCAACTACCTGTAGATTAATGGAAGTTGAGTTATCAAACAACGTTGTGTTGGTCCCAGATGTGAAATTAGAAGTGGGGTCGTTGAATACGTCGAGAGAGGCCTGGGAAAAATTTAGCGTTCCGTTCGAATCCATCACTATCCTGACTTCGTTCCAAAAATTGACATTGCGGGAAGTTTCTTCCAGAGCTTTGTAATTGTCCGCCATTCCGATACCAGCTAGATACACATCTAACAGGCAGTGTTTGTTGTTATCGCAGGCCTAAAACATAGAAAAATAGGAAGCATTATATAACTTGAAACCAACATCAGATATACAAAAGTGACTATCTCAATGATCTTTTAGAAAAAGCTTAAGGCAAAATGGCCTTTTTAGCGCACAAATCCTCGTCAAGCTTACAAAATGTTTTGGAGCCAAAAAACTAGGGTTGATTCTTCAAAAATGTACATCTTAAAATGAAATAAAATTAGATCTTTTAAGTGAGTTTTCTCCGCCAAATCAATTTCTGATCTGATCTCTGATAAAATTCCGAATTAAAATCTGCCACGAGGAAATGTTTCTGAGTCAAAGTGGTCAAAGATAAAAGTTTCTTTTTACTTACGTTTTCAGCTTCGATACGTTTCCCATCTGAGGCGAAGTGTGGTTCCAACACTGGAACAAAACCGACGCCGTTTTCTGTGTCATTTTTGATTTGAACGCTGTGAGCGTATAGATTGAACAGCCAATCAGATTCTTCCACTTTCCATGTCTCTCCAAATTGGTCGTGTATGACGTATGGGTCGGAACCCACCGGCACAACTGTGCCATCTAAAGCACATTTCAAAAAACTGTTAAACATTGAAAAATTCTCACATGAAAATTGATCTCTTGTGGCGACCTTTTGAGGAGCAGCATTTTGCGCAACACTGGATTAAGTAGGAGAAAAATTCAAACTTCGGTCTCATCAAAAAACCTGTTATTATAAAATGAAAAAAATTTACCTTTCGCGGTGAAATCATTGGATGAGTCGCCATCAAAATGCCCCAGGAGTCCATCCATGTTTGATCTGAATTCGTCTGGGGGAGTTATGACAAAGTTGAGGTAATTGTCCGTAATTATTACTTGAAGACTCAGGCTATTTTCAAGAAGTTCGAATGTGAAATGTTTGTTGTTTGTGTTTCGAGTCACTGAGAAACCGTGTAGAATGTAATCCTTCGGACCATCCAATGTCATCTTGTATCCGTTTAACGCGTATGAAAACTCGCCTCGTGAGTCAATATAACATTCCAACGAGTGATTGGGGTAAGATAACGCGAGTCCTGAAAACACGGTTCCGTTGCCCAAGCGTCTCATGCTGGCCTGGATGGCTGTCGATTCTTCAAGAGAAGACTCGAGCAGTGTGTAGACTCCAATTCCCATGAAAGGGTACTGCAGACCATCAAGGGTCGGGATGCTTGGATCCCCACGAGGGAAGACGCTTCGGCGTGGTTTGTATTCTGCAATTATTGTTTTTCTGTGTCTTTTAAACAGCTCCAACCCGTTTGATGGCGCAGAACCTGTGGTACATCTTTCGTAGGCTCGAATTTGATCATAATAGTAGGGAACCACATTGTACAAGGAGTTTTTTTGAACTGACATATAGCCTGATCCCTCTCCTGATAAAATGAGGCTCCTATCTCTTTTCTCAACTCTTACAACAACTGTTTTCCACTTACATCTGTTAACCAAACCAAAACTAAACCACCGCAAAATTCTTCTAATCCAACCGCAAACTTTTTTCCTCTTATACTCTATAACAGTATAAGAGACGTCTCTGTAACAGCACTGGTTTGAGACGTAAATAGTTTTTTGGCTGTTTTTCTCTTTGCATTTCTCTTGTGGCGACTGGATGCAAAAAGTGGCGCCGCTATTAAACTCACACTTTTTGGGATCGCAAAAGCCCATTTTTTTCATCTGCTCCGACTCCTCGGTGTTTTCCTGGGAGCAACAAATGTCATATTTCCACCGATTTTCATTTGCACCTGTCAAAACTTCCCTCTCGGCCCACCAAGCATCCTCTCTCTCAGGATGACTCAACCCACTCGGTTGTCTTGGACACCCCCTTACTTCCTCTAGTTTTTCTTCACATTCTGAATAGTCTTTTGTCCTTTCTTGTTCATCCCAGTCAGAGCACGTATATTCAGCGTTTGTTTCTTCCGTTTTTTCAATCTTCATGGGCAGTGTGAAATTTGCGACTAGAAAAAAAACTGCAATGGAAGCTCAGAAAATAAACTAATTGGTCTGTGGTTTTTTGTTTGTCGTTTGAAGTAATTGTGGTTTTTTGTATAATTATATTAGATCTTCTTTAACAATCCCACCGCCCCCTATGGCATCTATGGATACAATTTTGACTCCTATCAACAGGGGCGGATCAAGGATTTTCTCGAAGGGGGCAGATTTTCTGTCGACATTTTTCTTAGGTCGACCCGAATTGATTTTCCGAGCTCTCTCAAAGCACTAAAAAGACCCTGTTTTGGTCAAATTTTCTGCGCCGCCGTCAAAATTTTGAGAAACAGGCCAAAAAAGGCGTTTTTAGGCACTTTTAAGAAATTTTTGACTAAAAAAGTTGCGTTTTTTTGGCGGGCGCTCCCCCTTTAAATAATCCGCCTTTAGAAAATTTTTAGGGTCCGTCACCAAATGTGGATATCTCAAAATAGTACAAAGGGGGGCCCTTTGGGTCGGCAGGGGGTCGAATCCCTGAGGGGGGGAGGAAGAGAAGGCGTCCCCCATCCCCGCCCCACCCCATAAATCTGCCCGTGCCTATCAATAAAGGCAGTGAATTAGCACTAGAGAAATTTGCGAAATTTATCAATAGTTTTTGTGATGTTGATCGCAGTATATAGAAAAACCACAGTGCGATATGCCGATAGCTCTCTATTTCAATTAAAAACGTCGATCTTCAGAAAAACACCCAGAATTTATCACAAATGATCTTAGATGTTAATTAACTATCCCTGTGACTTTCAACTATGAGACTTTTGAATTTAGCCAAAGATCTTTGAATTGAATATTGACTCTCAAAAATTACATTAAAGCTTCATATTAGATGAGGTAGCAACCTACAGATATTACAATTTATCGGGACGAAAAAAAGAAATCGTGACAAGCAAAGGTGTTACAATCATTCGAATTTACACTATCGGATTGCATCTCTTGCTCATTTATTTTGTGGGCTCAACATTTCAGTTATTTATTTTTGAAAATTGAAGTGAAAACTCTCTATAAAATCATTGTTCACTACTTAAATCACAGGTCATTTTCACTCTATATAAGTATCGATCTTTAAGTTTTCCCTCTTAAAACTTTTAAAGTCATAAAAATATTTTCCAATATCTGTATCTCAGCAGGTTCACTTCAGACCCTGGTCATAATTGTTTTTATAGATTGTCAATTCTTCGTATATTACTTATATCATTTTTTCCCAATCAAAATAGCTATGTTTTTTATGTTTGTGTTCAGCGACCTAATGCGGTCGAATCAAACTCCATTGCTCAAAAAACCCAGGGCTTTCTGATTCATCTCATCACAGAAAATGAAAACAAAAAAATGTGTTTTCAATTTCTTTGGTCTAAATGAATCTTAAGTCGCAGACAATTTGATTGCATTTTGCCAGATGATCATATGTTTCACTCATCTCATAAAAAATTGGTACGCTCTTATATTAAACCAAAAACCTATATTTGGTATTGAATCGAGCGCACAACAACAAACGTATAATGAAGATAGCACGAAAAATCAGAGATTTTTATATGGTCGAGAAATTTGAGCAATTACAAATTCTTCGAAGTCAATAGAAATATACTGTTCGCATACATACATTGCCTAAAATTGACAAAAAACTGATCATATTGAAGCAAAACTTTCACTCAAGATAGGCTGTCTCTGTTTTAGTACATATGAACATAGTAGCAAGAAACAGGGTTACAAGCAAAAATAGCCGACCCGAACAAAAAGAATTGACGATGTCACTGCTCTACGACTTTTTAATAACTCCAAATTATTTAAAGACGACAGCTATCAATCAATGAAAACTCAAGCAACCCATTTCTAATTATTGAGTATTTTTGAAAAATTACTTCAACATTAGCAATAAATTTCATAGATAACCAAACTAAAACAAATATAGATCAAAGAACAGCAAACTGGTTCAATCATTACGATATTCGATTTAAACGATGAGTCTGAAATAGTTGTTTTAATCGAAATCGAAACTGTAGCAGTTATAAGAAATGATTAAATTCAAAATAAAACCAGAGCTATTCCATAAATCAAAGATTTCCATCTTGACGAGTTCGGATTCAAAAAACACCCCTTCGGAAGAAAAAACAAAAATTCTTAGCAATAGAAACTGCTCAAACTCTGTACAGGTAAACCATTTAGGTTCGCAAAGTTATAGACCAATTCCTAAACCAGTCCTTCAAGTCATGTCGAGTCAACCATAATCTCATCAAAAAACACTTTCAACCGAAGAGACTGAGAATCAAATGCACAACAACAAACACGCTTATTATGAGAAACAATAAGGACGCGGTAAGCACGTCAGCTCTAAAAAATAATTTAAACTCTAACGTGCACTTGTACCAAAACCTTTAGCCCACTCATCTTTTAAACAAACGTCAGGCTCTCCACAAGCTTTAAATTAAAATAAGCTGATTAAGTTCTAATTTTTAAATATTTATTAAAAAAAACCCGGTTGCCAATAACAGAAAAATACTAAGCATAATAGAGAAATATACTCGCAGCACGAAACCATTTGGAGCATTCACAGCAAAATCAGCAATTATCAAGTGTTGTGGCAAAACTATCTAACAAATTTTTTACTCTTAGAATCCTGTGAATAGTAGAAACTAAAGCAAAACCAATCTTCTATTATATGAGAATTTGTTTGCATGTAAACTTTATCTTTACTGTTTATTATATGACACCTGAAAATTAATTCTACTTGTAGTCTATCGCAGCAAAGTCTACTGGAAAAAAATTATTGTTCCGACGAATTTTAGAAAAATTGACTGCTTATGGGCATCGATTCGGATATCTTGTGATTTCCAAGCGAATATGCTTGCACTTTAATTAGACCATAGTGTGCTTGCACTTGGCAATTGCTGCCGTAAAACTTTAATAATTTGTTTCAATACGCAAATTACTCATGGGTGGCAAATTATCCGCACTCATCATTGTTCGAAATTGAATTGAGGCAAGCTAATTGGATGATTAATTCCATAACCGACTCAAATTTTAAAAATTTGATATTATCAGCCTAACTTTTGTAGTTTGTCAATATTTTGTATACAAAAAAAGATTCGAGACCAACTCATGGGTGGTCGGATCATTCAGGGCTCTGCCCTGATTCGAGCAGTCTTGTTAACACTACTGTTACAATTCATTTTTCGATCAGGGTAAATTGGCCTCAGACCGTTTCGTTTTTGGTATATGAAATATTGACAAACTACAAGTTTTCGGCTGATAAAATCAATGTGTTAAAGGTTGAGTCTTTTATAGAATAAACAACACTGATCGTATCAGAGAGAGGCCCCGAATGTTCCAACTGCCTTTTAAGATCTGTGGAGGAGTAAAAACATGAAAAACAAATTTATAAATAATATTTGAGTTTTTTTGTGAAAATCATCCCCCCACACGTCATATAAATTTCAAAGTGATACATTTTGCTCCTTGAAAAAAAAATTAGCTTTCTTCAACCAATTTGGAACTATTTCTCAGACGGGTTAAACCTCGCCTAACGCGTTAACAGAGCGAAAAATATGTCGTGTTATTTGTTACAATTTGGCAAAGATGGCATTTTTTAAACCCCCATAACTATAAAAAATCAATCACAAGTGAGAAACTGTATCAAATTTAAGCTCAATAGAACAATACCTTCTGACTGATTTCAAAAAGATTCATCAAAAATGGCTAGTAATAAAGTCGAATTTTGTCTGCAGGAAAAAAAACCACCCGAGCACAATTTATCCGTTACTTTTGTTGCAAAATTTGGAACAGTAAATAAAAGAAATTAGCTTGCCTCAATTCAATTTGCAACTATAATGAAACGGATAATTTGCCACGCATAAATGATCCGCGTATTAATACAAACTATCAAAGTATACGTCCAGCAGCGAAACTGCACTTTAGTTAAGTGCAAGTATACTCGCTTGTTAAAAATAAGATTTCCGTATTGTTGCCTATACGCAGTAAACTGCTTAAAAATTAATCGGAATAAAAAAAATACCTCGGGAATATATACTCTTCATTTTCTTCTAAAGTCGAAACAAAAAGTACAAATGATTTTCAACTAGAAATGATAGCGCACATCGGAATTTTTTTGCTTTAAATTGCACTCGGAAAGGAGTCAGCCCATAAACAAACGCGAGTTTAAATGTACTATTGTTTTAATGGCACCTTGAGGCTGCCTCCTAATTGCTTTTAGTTGACATACTCGCGCTAGTCATCAAATAACTTCATAGTTTCACAAAACGCTTAGAAAGCCAATTGCTTCAAAAGACGTTCTAAATTAATGACTCCATCCTCAAATAGTCTCAATTGTTGCATCAGAGCGCTGTTTCATAGTCCTGCATGAATTCGTCCATCAAATACAGAAAAAAAGTTAACAATAAATTAAGCGAGCTCCAGACCTTTTACTTTTGCGCTTGATAATTTTTTCGATGACAAAACTTGCTTGCATGACAATATTGGTGCTTTTTCGCAACTGGATTGGAATTGATCTTTATTATTCAATTCAATTTGAAAGATCACTCCCCGTTTTGTGTTAAAATTAGCTGGTGAAACATGAACATTAATCATTGGTTCGAGCAACTTTGGGCGGGGATTTACCATATACCTTTCATCTGAATTGCTACTGGAACCATCACTCAAATCTCAATAATTCAACCCATTTGTCGCTGCAATAACCTTGATAGGTTGTGGGCTCAGATTTCCAATTACGAGAGAGAAGTCAGCACTCAAGATTGACTGTTTGTTCAAACGATTCAGAAAAAAAACTGAGATTTGCCGGGGAGTTGTGTCACTGAAAAAACACAACTTGAAATGGACAAATGATCAGACAGAGAAATGCGAGGATAGAAGCAGGTCACCGCTACTTGGATATAGACGATTGATCAGATAGATAAATTCAAGGATAGATGCAGGGCAACACAACTAGTAGAGACATACAACTCTGACGACAGAAGCAGGACAACAC